AATCCCCTCTTTTCCCTCCGATGCCCGCTAGCGACAATCCTGACCCTTCTACCTGGGGCCCTTGCCCGCTAGCGACCACCTCCCCAGGTTTAAGTCGTTGACCAATCAAACCTGTCCACAATTTCGACTTACGATATCATATCGACATCGTTTCGACATCGACAAAAAAATCATTTCGCACTGGGAACAGTGTGATGTACCTCCCGTTCACTTCGAAGAAAAGTTACGCAGTTAAGTTCGTCTAGTCCTTGAAGAAACAAAACACCAACAACTCCGTCAAAGTTAAACATAAAGTCATAGACTGACTTCGTTTCAGTGATGATCGTCCGTCTTCCAAATGAAAAGGCATCATCAAATCAGTGCGTGCGTGTATGAGACATTTTATTGGCATCAAGATCGGGGAGAGCATGACAGAGCATCACGCCTTCAATTATTTTTCGGAAAATCGTTCGCAAACGAGTGCGATGCTAAGTGATGAAGACAGGGGTTACGTGGAACGGAAAGAGAATTACGAAAAATAAAGAAAGAGAAAAAAAGAGGTGGCAAAAGGGGGGGGGGGACTGAGAAAGTATTACAATTGACTTTTTTTTTTATTTCAAAAAGATCAAATAAGTCTGTATTGTCTTTGCAAGGAAATAAGGTTATTGATTAATTGATTGACTATTTCGTTCTGTTCTTTTTTTTCGGTAGTCGCACCATTACCATTGTCCAATCTATGCTGGCTAGGCAAAATAAAAATAAAAAACTGAAACTAGTATCTTCTGCGGACGATGTCATGTGAGCCGCTCCTCCGAAAGAAATAAAAATAAAAGCTGCATCGACGCGATTAGATCGTTAGTGGTCACTGAACTCGACCCAATTCCGTTCAAAATTCAGAAGTTTATGCGCGGTTTTATGGCGTTGGTGAAGTTCAGCCAGGTGTGGCCACATCATGGCCACGCCTCACCGAGGGGTGTGTATCATCGTTTATCTTTGTTTTGTTTTTTTTACAAACAATACAAAACTACCAAAGTCTCGTCGGTAAAACCAGCCACAAACTCGAGAGCCCGCTCTGTGCTATATAGAGAGAGTGAGGAGGAGGGGAAGGGATTTGCCCTTTAGGTAGAGACAGTCCTTAGGGGACTGTCCGAAAGCTAATTTTTTTCATCTACCAAATTAAAATTAAAATTTGTCAAGCTTTCTGGGAAGAGTAAAACAAAACCCTCCGGATCTATGCCTCCGGTTCCGCGGAGCCGCGGACAACACATGGACAACGCCCTTAACTGTAAGGGCGGATGACACGCCACCAGCGAGCGCGCGGGCTACTCACCAACAACTTCATACTGATGGAGACTGCGGCCCCGTCAAAGTAAGACTGGCTGCCGCCGGCGCAGCAGCGCGTATAGCAGCTGCTGCAGAACGACTTGTTTATTCCGCATCGGGTACAGTCGGGCTGGCGCTGGGCGGGAGCGGGGCGGCCAGCAGTGAGCCCGCGACCCGGCGGCGCCTCCCTCGCGCCGTCGGCCCGGCCGAGGACGCGCGCCCACACCAACGAGAGTGTCGGGACGGAAGTCCCTCTGGGCTGGGGCCGGTATCGAGTCGCATTACTGGCTTGGGTTGGTCACTTTATTGGTGCATGCATCGAAATATGTTTTTTTGGAGCCGGCCCGCGGAGGGGTGTGGGCAATCTTTTGAGACTGCCTCTTTCTGCTTTGGTAGAGAATCCTCTCGAGCGCCCGCCGCTCGGATACAGAGCCGTATGCCATATGGGAAGATGCTGCTTTGAGGCCGCTCACGTCCTTGACTTTGTCAGCCGGAGCGGCCAGCCCGGTCTGGCGGGGCGTGGCGGGGCGTGGCGTGGCGGGGGTCAGCAAGCGCGAGCTGTGGTGGGGAGCTGAGATTGTGACGTCACTTGGACTAAACGCTGCGCGGGGCATCGCCGGTCGGGAAGAGTGCGAAGCGAAAGGAAAATAAATGAAACGCATTTACGTCGTTTGCTGAACATTATAATGCCTTGTCCGACAAACTTCGTTGCGGTGCCATACATTACTCACTCCCAGTGCCTGGCAGGTGTAGTAAGGCCGTAGTAAGGGCCGGATGACTGAGGGGTCGGCGTAGAATAAGTTGCCTTTCGACAGGGAGTTTTGTAGCCCAAATTGCCTACCTTTCAGGCAGCTATTTAAGGCCGCCCCCGCCCCCTTCCCTCTTACTACGCACCTGCAGGTGTGGGGTGTAGGCGCTCGCGCTCGGGTGTGGCGTGCGGTGTGTTGCTATCGCCGTCGGAGTCACCAGCAAAACGGACAAGACTGGAACGAAACCTAATAAAACGATGCGCCTGACTAATGAGCCCAACAACGGCTCAGGGGAGAAAGTCACCGCGGTCACCTCGTCATGGCAGGTCACCCCGCCCTGGGGGCGCGGCGGTCGGGCCAAGAGCGAAGCGTGCGAAGCAGGACGCTGCTCTTAGAGATGAACCACGTTCAATCGGGTGACTTTGGCACGGGGCGGCGGCGCCCGCGGTGGCCTGCCTGCCTACCTGGTGGCCAAACTTGCTGCTCTTATATTCCAGCCATGGCTCGTCCGCCACCAGTGCGCACCCAGGCAGCCCGCGGCCACCATGGCGATCCAAGCCGTCTCTCATGCCCTTGTGAGCTCAGCGCCCTCCTCATCGCCCCCGCCCCGTCCATGACGCTACACTGCTACATGTTGATTATGTTTCTGAAACTGTCTACAAAATGTTGTTGCATCAAGAACGGCCTCCTCGCGCGGCGCTTTGTTCTGACCACTGGTCTGCTCCGGCCTGCAGGTGCTCGTGGTGCTGCTGACGGCATGCCTCTGCGCCCCGCAGTTCACCCCTACAACGGCGCCCTCCGCCCTGAGCGGGGACCTGGACCTGGCCGCCCTGGCCGGCGAGCTGCTCGATGTCGCTGGCCGCCTGCATGAGGTCTCGGACAGCCTGACGGCGCCCGCCGAGCGTGACGCGGTCGGGGCCTCTCCCACCGAGACCACCGCGGGCACGTCGCCGTTGGAGCCCTCTGTGGCCCAGCCGACGGCGGCTGCTCTCCCGGACGGCCTCCCCGACAACGACACGTTCCGTCGCCGCCTCTTTTTCATCGGCGACCTGGGTGACGACTACGTCCGCGTGCCCGCGAGGGACGTGCTGCCACCGTACGAAGACGGAGAGCCGGAATCGATCGGTGAGACCGCGGCGCTTCCCTTCTCGTTCAAGACAGCCGTCCACAGTGCGGCCAACCAGGCCGTCAACGAAGACGCCCGCACGTCGTTCGTCCCTCTCCACGAGAAGGACCTCCTGCGCCGACCCGGCTCCAGGTTCCGGCTGGACCAGCGCGCCGCCAGCAGGGACGGAGAGATCCGCGCCGCCATGGAGGCCGAGGGGTTCCAGGTGAGAACAGCAGTCCGCACGCCTTTACCTGACCGACCGAGAAGCCGACCCTCCCCCTCCGACCCATGCATCTCTGACGTGCTGCTCGGTTCACAGGGCCCCCTCCCGGAGGCGACGACTGGCACGGCAATGCGACCAGGGCATGGCCGGCACACCTACCGCTGGACCGTCGCCTCGCGCGAGGAGCGCGAGAAAGAGCAGTAAGGAGTTCCTCCCCCGGCCTGCAAATAAAGTCCCCCCCCCCATCTTTCTCTCTCTCTTTATTCCCATCCCTCTCTCCCACACGCTCTCCCTCTCCTTACTCTCTCCCTACTCTTTCCTCTTTATATGGTCGCAAAGCTGGAAGGCGATCGGGTTGTGTTGACAGGACGCGCTAATTGGGATGAAGAAGAAGAGGGCCCCATTAATGTGCTATCGGAGGGCCTTCATCGCATGCGGATTGACTGCTAACAGTATTTAGACCTTACATTGTTTATTTATTTTTTATTCTAG